ATATGACGGATTGATGATGATGATAATGATATGATAACGATGATAATGTTGATTGGTGATGTGCATGGGGGGGGGGGGGGGGGGGGGTGGGGTGGTGGGGGGGGGGCGGGGGGGGGGGGGGGGGGGGGGGGGGGGGCGGGGGTGGGGGGGGGGGCGGGGGGGGGGGTTAGTGATATTGATAATGATAATGATGATAATAATGATAATAATAATCTTGTGCGTATAATGACAACATTATTCATAACAAAGATCACGATGTCAAAGATGGTATAATACCAACAGGAATCACAATCCCCCACCTCATCCCCACCTCACCCCCCACCCCCCCAAAAAAAAACACCCGACCCCCAAGAACGCTCCCGCCCTAACGCCCTCCACCCCACCCACCAACACCCCATCCACCCACACCCACCCCCCCCCCACCCGTAGCGTCTGGAAGCAAACTCTCGCCCACTTATTTCTCGAGACGTCGACCTCGGCTGCCAATGGAGCGTAAAATCTCCGAAGACAGTTAGAAGTCATTCGAGCGTGAACTCCCCGGAACCTGAGTGACGTGGAGGCGGCGAGACGAAGCAATACGAAGGTGTTTTCAAGTACAGGCGGAAGAGAGAATGAAGCTGTTCTTGCGCCGTTCGGATGGCGCTCGGGAGAAGGACGGAGGGGGGGGGGGCGGGTTAAAGGGGAGGGGGGAGGAGAGAGAGCGAGAAGGGGTTAGAAGGAAGATGGGAGAAGGGACGGGAGGGGGGGGGGGCGGGGTTAAAGGGAGGGGGGGAGGAAGAGAGAGCGAGAAAGGGTTAGAAGGAAGATGGGGAGAAGGGAGGGAGGGAGAGAGAGGGGTTAAAGGGAGGATGGGAGGAGAGAGAAGCGAGAAGGGGGTTAGAAGGAGATGGGGAGAAGGGATGGGAGGGAGAGAGAGGGGTTAAAGGGAGGGTGGGGAGGAAGAGAGAGCGAGAGAAGGGTTAGAAGGAAGATGGGGAGAAGGGATGGGAGGGAGAGAGGAGGGTTAAAGGGAGGGTGGGGAGGAAGAGAGAGCGAGAAAGGGGTTAGAAGGAAGATGGGGAGAAGGGATGGGAGGGGAGAGAGGGGTTAAAAGGAGGATGGGGAGGAAGAGAGAGAGCGAGAAAAGGGTTAAAAGAAAGATGGAGAGAACGGATGGGAGAGAGAGAGAGGGTTAAAGGAGGGTGGGGAGGAAGAGAGAGCGAGAGATAGAAGGAGGAGGGAAGGAGAGAGAAGAGAGAGCTGGGTTAGAAGGATGTTGTGGAGGAAGAGAGAGCGAGAAAAGGGTTAGAAGGAAGGAGGGAAGGGAGAGAGAAGAGAGAGCGGGGTTAGAAAGAGGATGGGGAGGAAGAGAGAGCGACAAAAGGGTTCGAAGGAAGATAGGGATAAAAGGAAGCTGAAAAGGAATAGAGAGCGAGAGCATGGTTTAAAGGAAGTTGGGGAGGAAGAGAGAGCGAGAAAAGGATTAGAAGGAAGATGGGAAGAGAGAGCGAGAGCAGGGTTAAAAGGATGGTGGGAAGGAAGAGAGAGCGAGAGAAGGGTTAGAAGTAAGGAAGGAAGGAAGAGAGAGCGAGAGCAGGGTTAGAAGGAAGGAAGGAAGGAAGAAAGAGCGAAAGCAGAGACTAAAACGAAGGAAGGAAGAGAGAGAGAGCAGTGTAAGAAGGAAGATGGGAAGGAAGAGAGAGCGAGGGCATTGTTAGAAGGAAGGAAGGAAGGACGAGAGAGCGAAAGCAGGATTGGAAGGAAGATGGGAAGGGAGAGAGAGCGAGAGCAGGATTAGAAAGAAGGAAGGAAGAAAGAGTGATAGCAAGGTTAGAAGGAAGATGAGAAAAAAGAGAGAGCGAGAGCAAGGTTAAATGGAAGAGGCTTGTGCTAAAACCTTTTGTCTGCAGATATTAAACTTACTATATGACTTTCTTTTAGAGACTGAAATCATATTTACGCAGAAGTGGGTTAGAAGCGAACAAAGATCAAAGTTCTATGGAAAGAAATACATATTGTCATCAACTTTGCCTCCCTACCTCTCCCTCTATGCATATAGAATACCTCTCTACCTCTCTATATATATATATCTGTAGAATACACAGAACAGTATATAGAATAGATCAAGCTACATGTATAGTTATTAATATATCAACATTTGCACGGACGTACGTAAGAACAAAAAGGACTACAACTCATCCGGAGCAGCCACTGAGAGAGTCACTTCTTGACCTAAATTTGCGAGTCAACATCAGGTCGACATGAGTTAATAAGATGAGAGGATGTTCGATGTGGAATTAAGACTCAATCGCGGACTGCACGAGAAGAAGAATTGTTTAGGCAGTATCAAGCCGTTTTCGGTTCTCAGTGAATGGAAGGTATGGCATGATACAGTAGAGGAAATATAGGATACGAGGAAGGATTTGAGAGGAAGAAAACGGGAAGAGAAGGTATAGATAAAGATATAAAGAATAATGAGAAGGAGAGGAAGAATAGGAAGAGGTAGAAAGACAAAGACGGAGAGAGGAAAAACAGAGAGGAATATGAATGCAGTAAGAGAAGAAAATACGATAATGGAATGCAAGATCAACAAAAATGAAGAGGGAGAGAGAGAGAGAGAGAGAGAGAGAGAGAGAGAGAGAGAGAGAGAGAGAGAGAGAGAGAGAGAGAGAGAGAGAGAGAGAGAGAGAGAGAGAGAGAGAGGAAGAGAGACGAGAGAGAGAGAGAGAGAGAGAGAGAGAGAGAGAGAGAAAGAGAAAGAGAGAGTACGAGAGAAAGAGAGAGAAAGAGAGAGAGTACGAGAGAAAGAGAGAGAACGAGAGAGAGACCGACAGATAAAAAGAGAGAGACAGACAGAAAGAGAAGAGAGGAGACAGACAAAAGAAAGAGAAAGAGACAGACAAAGAGACGGAAACAGATAGACAGAAAGAGATAAATAGATAGAGAGAACGAGAGAGAGTGAGAGAGGGTTAAAGAGAGAAGCGCTCCTCATAAATCAAGATCATGTACCACTGAATTTTCATCATACTGCCACGGAAAATACCCAGAGACATCTCATCCATCAATTTCGCTCTTATTAAGTGCCAACAAATAGGACAAGAGTGCAAAGAGAGAGAAAAAACTGTCGCTCAACTCCAAAGGCCTTTGTGTTTCCGAGGAGCACGTGCAATGGAGGGGGCGAAAGAGAGAGAGAGAGAGAGAGAGAGAGAAGAGAGAGAGAGAGAGAGAGAGAGAGAGAGAGAGAGAGAGAGAGAGAGAGAGAGAGAGAGAGAGAGAGAGAGAGAGAATAATGTTAATTAAATGATTTTGATAGAGACGATATTGAGAACAAGAGTAGCATGATGGGCAGGATGGGGAAGGAGGATTATAA